GACATCTCCCTGCGAATCTCCGCATTGTGGTCGTGCACAGTTTTGTTGAGGTTGCCGAGCTCAAGTTGCTGGGTCTGGACCTGAGTGGCCAGGGCATTGATCTGGCGGTTGGTGACCTGATTGGCCTCCGCGGCGTCACCAAACCATTGCTCGAATTTGACGTTCTGTTGTCGTAGCTCGGCTACGGATGACTCCAGGAACTGGAAGCGGGTGTCGAGTTTGTCGCGGTCGTCGCCCTCCATGTTCTGGTCGGTGTCCCATCCAGAGGGTTGCTGCCATTGGTCAATTTGCTTCTGGAGCGAGGCAGTGACGGTGGCTTTGATGCGTTCTTCTGCTTGTTGAAGACGATCTGCGGCTGGCTTTGCTCCTGCGCTTTTGCCTTCAGCCGGATGTTGATGAAACCACTGTGACCATGGGTCACTTCCGGCTTGCCAAGGGTCTTGCGAGGCACGGGCGGCTGGCTCGGGGTTGTTGTTCAGGTATTTCTGCGTCCTGTCAAAGGCGACCAGTGAGGGGCCGTTGAGATCGGGCTTGAGCGTACGGAGCTTGGTAACAAGAACATCACCATGAGCTCCTTGAAGGATGTCACTGGGCGGGGGAGTGTCGGCACCGACCTCCCATCCGATACCGTGTTGATCACCTTTGCATGGCTGAAGTGGCTTGGCCTTCCATTTCCAAGCCGCAAGGGATTTGACGAGTCCTTGCCGCTGAGTTCCATGAGGAAGGGGAAAGATCTTGTAGATGTCAACGACCTTGACCTGGAGGTAGGGCTCGTCGGGCTTGAGCTCCTTGTGTGCTTGTGGTAGGTGGTCTGAGGCGAATCGGAGCCCATATCGGTCGTTGAGACGCACGATGGAGACCGAGCTTTCCGTGGTCCTGTGCTTGTAGGAAATGGTCTGAAGAGTAGCTCCAGCAAGCCAGACGACACCGAACTGCTCATCCGGGGAGCGTCCAGTGGAGTCCCTGGGGTCGACATAGAGACCATCCGTGCCGGAAAGGTTGAGCAGGTTGTGGAAGGCAACCTGAGGGATTCGTACAAGAGCGGTCCAGCTGGTGGCTTTTTCTTTGGGGACACGAGCTCCTTGTGCGTTGACCCACTGCCTTCCCCAGATGTCAAGGATGACACTGGTGACTTGTTCTTCATCAACTGGGGGATGGAATTTTCGGCAGGTGTCACCGCAGCCTTCAGAGCGGCAGAGCGTCATGATGGGGTAATGCTGCATGACCTGACGCATAGGTCCCTCAACGAAGGTAGTCCATGGGTTGGCCCATTGGTCCTGGTAGATGGCAAGCTTGATCGTACAAGTTGCGATGGGTGCAACATCTGGGAGTGTGTTGCGTACTGGCCGTGCAACCATGACCTGGCCAAGCTGAATGATGCTGCCGTGAATGAGGATGGGTTCCTGCGTGGCAATGTGCTTTGCAGGGAAGAGGATGTTCTCGGTTGGAAGTTGTCCACAAAGCGTTGGTGGGATGCAGGTGGTGGTGAGTATCGCGAGGGGGCCAGTGCTGAGCTGGATTCCTTCCTTGAGGTATGGAGCTGCTTCGCTGATGGTAGCAAAGCCGATGCCAGTGCGACCTTTGCTGAGGTTGTGGATGGAGAGAGCTTCAATGGGGATGCCGTCTTCCCCAGTGAATGTGCCTGGTATGAGCTGAAGCTCGCTGGGCGTGATGTTGCACTCAGCTTTGCCTTCAGAGGCACGTTCTGGTTTGTTCTTGTCCTTCTTTTTGACGGAGGTGCTGATGCCGAACTGGCTAGCAGCCTTGAGCTGGACTTTCTTGAGGAGTTCGTCGTGCCTGATCCACTGGAAGGGGCTTGATGGCCTGGATCCTAGCGCCTTGAGGGCGCTCCATGTTTGCTTGGAGGCCAAGGCCTCAGCAATACTGCTTAGGCCGAGCTTCTTGATGGCGTGGGTGGCTCTCTCCTCAACGCGATCAAGTGGTACACCCTTGTCTGTGAGGATGGCGGTGAGCTGCTTGAGCACTTCCTCTTCATTGCATGGGCCGTTGGCTGCGTGGATGTACTCGTTGGTGGGGTTGCCAGCTTGAAGGTGACGATGCCAAGTAGCAATGTCGGGCTGGTTGGACTCAGGCCAGAGGTCGAGAACGGCCGCGAGATGAGCAAGTGCTATAGTGCCGCACGTGTAGTTGTCTTGTTGGTGGTAGTAGGTGAGGCTTTGGATGCACTTGCACGGGATGTTCCATTGACTAGCAAGGGTCGTAGCGATGTAGTGGCCACCTTCGTGAGCCCGATGATCGAGCCCGTCAAAGATGGTTGCCTTGAAGCAGTGTTCGTCAGGTTCGGCAACAAGAAGTGCCCAATGACCGTCAAAGGCGAAGATGATGGTGGTAAGAATGGAAGGGTCGAGGTTGGTGATGGCTTCAAGTGCATGTGGCTCGAGGACGAAGTGCTGTTCCTCATCTCGCTTGACTAAGAGAGGAGCCGGGCATTGATATGGCTGGCCTCCGAGTTCCCCGTGTGTGTGAGCTAGTCGATGCAGCTCACTGCTGATCTGCTGGTCATTGAGCCCGTGCTCAGAGGGTCCACCGGCAACAATGAGGCTCTTACAGTTGAGAACAGTGTTGTGCCATAGGCGAGCGTCAAGCCGAAGCGCGTGGCCAAGCAAATCAACAGGTGGTGTCTCCCTGGGGTTGATGTGCCCTTTGAGGCATGCCTGGAAAAGGAAGGTGCCAGCCTGAGTTGAGATCGTGGTTGTGGTTCTCCCGATGTGGAATTGGATCTCGATGTCATGGTTGCTGACATTTGGGTTGGTGGTGCATGGGGAATGCAAGGTATAGGGACCAAGCAGACCTCTATCTTGAAGGACGGCATCAGCTGGCACCGGTCGGTTTCCATCCCAGAGCTGCAGTTGTTTGGGGAGTTCGGCAAGGCATTCTTCTGCTTGAAGCAGGTCTTGCACGTCCATGGTTGTCCTGAAGCCATACGTGTCGAGTGGCGTGGGAGTCGTCTGTGGCCCAAAGGTGGTGCTTCTGCCAGAGGAGCTCGTGCTTGGTGGACTGGATGAGGGTCTGGGGTTGGCACAAAGGTTCCCAGCCGTAGTAAGCTTGGACTGCCTTGACAAGATGTGCGCATACCCATTGTGCTTGAAGGGGTGCAGCGACCTGGCCGATGAGGACAAGCCCAGCTCTGGCGTCCCCAGGGAACTTGTAGTTCACTGGGATGGTGCATAGCAGGGCCGCCTCAGACGTATGGAGGTATCGGGGCTTGCCGGTGACTTGGGAGATGATGTAACATCCCCTGATGCCCCCACGCTGTAGTCGCTGTAGGTTGAAAGGAGCTTGTCGACAACCACAAGGGCATTGGCGCAACACACTGCCATATGAATGGAGCAACGTGGGACATGTTCCAGATTGTTGTAGTAGGCGAGGTTCCTGGCCATAGTTGCTGTCCATGTAGAACGTGAGCTCGACCTCGTCCAGTTGGAGTTGCTTCTCGGCCACGGTGTCCCAAAGCGGCCAGTCAGGAATGACGTGCTGGATGGTACTGAAGTGGATGTCTTTGCCCCAGGGCACGAAGTCGGTGAGGTCAAATTCCTTTGGAGCCAGGATTGCCCACCATCTGACCCGGTTGCATGGCCACTGGTCCTGCAGCGACAGCACGATGGTTTTCAGTTGAAATCCCATCAGGGTGGCAAGCTCGTTGAGGTGCTCATTGATGAACCCATGGTTCTGGACTCCCGGGACGCACTCCAGGATCACCGCAGAGGCTTGCGTCAACCAGGCTGCTTGAAGTGTGGCCAGAAAGACCTTAGATCTGGGGTCGTGCTTGCCGCGGTTGTCACCTTGAGAGCTGTATGGTTGGCAGGGAAATCCTGCTCCAAGTACAGTTCGTCTGTGATCACTGGCTCCATGTAGGCGAGCAATGTCCTGAGGATTGCACAAGTCGCCGTGTATGACGTTGTTGGCGCCATTCTTGATGAGGGCCTCACAGGCCAATGCACAGTGGTCCAAGTAGGCGACTGTTCGGATGCCAGTCTTAGCGGCGCCTAGTCCCAGGCCACCCATGCCGGAGCACACCTCCTTAATGTGCTGGTAGTTCACAATGCTGATGGGGTTGTGGGCATACCAGGTGGATTGATCTTGGGGCAGCACGAACGTGGAGCCATCTGAAGACTGGCAAGCCACGAAGCTGTAGACGGTGACGAGCTGCTCCCGCGAGAAGAAGTCGGGGATCCACACTTTCATGCCGATGGACACCTCCTCCGCGGAGATGCACGTGCCCATGCGCACTCCACCAATGCGAAGCACTCCGGTGAAGTCGCCCTCGCGAGAGGCGAGGTCGGCGATCCAGCAAGGCGCAATCATGGCGGGCCAGCTCCCGAGCGTCAGTTGATGGCTAGTCCACCACTGGCAGGTCTCGGGCCGAGACTTTGGGAAACAATTTACAAAATGTAAATTTTTGCTCCCCTTCCAACGTCAACCAAGTAATGGGTTTTCCAAATTAAACCACTAAGTTAAACTTTTAGCAGGGGAGCAGAAAGCAACCGAGGAAAAGTCAACCCCAAAAAGGGTCGCCGCATTTTAGCTTTTGGACCCGTCACGCCAACTTGGACCCACATCAGATAAGGGCCTCCCAGTGTGGCGGGCCGATCGTCTATGGGCGGGATTCACTAGATTTCCCCACAAAATCCAGGGACTCACCAATTGTCCCATGTCCTTTCAATGTCAATGATTCGATTCAGCCACCAATATTCGATTGGTTCTAAAGGTCACATTGCACATATGTGTATGTGAATATTATAATATATATATATAAGCTAGGTTTTCAGTAGTGCCCTTTTACCCTTTTGTTTGGGGAGGGTTCCCCTACTAAAATAGACTACAGAAACAAGTTGGTACCTTATTCCAATTTCTCTACCGGAGGACCTAGTATATACATATACATATATACATGTATCATTCGATTTTCGTAGCCAGGGCAGCGTCTTCCCTCGACTCACCGAACGGGTTTTCGTTACGTCGACTCTCCACTCCCTCAGGCCGACGGCATGGGTCGGCGCATCAGCAGCTTCGCGGAGCAGCGGCTCGGGACGGACTCGGGACTCGCGGAGAGCGGAGCGGAGAGCGGAGAGCGGAGCGGCGTGTCGGAGCGTCACGGAAAAGCCATGATGTGGACCCAGGGTTAATAAACCCGTCCCATTATTAGGGGGGTGTTCCCTCCAAAAGCCCTTAGCCTTTTAGCTTCTTAGGGTTTTAGTGGAGGTTTCCATTTAGCCCACCAAAGGTTACACTTTTATCAGGGGATCTGAGGACAGCCCAATAATGGGAACCCCAGATTGAACCCTCCCATCAATCAACTAACAGGGGGATTCCCAGAGTTCATCAACCCCTTTAATTCATCCGGAGTCAACATTGGAGATGACCCACAAGGGGTTGGTAGGGTTAGGGTTGAACATGTTAGACCAACGCTCCAATTTAGATGAAACTCTTGAAACTCTTCATACTGGTAAACCTATTGCTCCATAGGGTCTTATTTCTTATATTTTCGTCGGTTCTATTATCCTTGGGTAGTTCCGGTAAACATATTAGTCCTGGTTCGACTTGTCCCCCCACGGTTTTAATGATGGCTTGGATATCAGGGGTAGGGATGCTCCAAGAGCAACAAGGATACTTGTTCGTCACGTGCAATCAACACCGATTCGGGGATTGATGATCCGGTTAAAAAATAAATCCAGTGCGGAGATCCGCCGGAATGAGTTCCTGAAGCATGGTTCTGGAATTACGACCATTCTTGCACCGATCGGTTTATGGCTCACATGTCATTCTGGCTTCAGCTGTGCGCGATTTGACCGGGGAGTTCTTCGCACAGTCCCAAAGTTACTGCCGTACACTTTGTGCTAAATAGCCCAGATCTTTAGATGTACAAGGGAAGCCGAAAGGGGACGGGCATTTTGTTTTTTTTTGTCAGACCCTTTATCTAACACCCAGATGACACGCAACACATCATCTTCTGCTTAGATTGGGTTGGTTGGTTGCGGGTCAAGCTTCCAAAAGGAACCAGCAACGTTTCTTTCAAAAGAGCAGTTCACGTGAAACAGGCCCGAATCTGCTCCAGGCGACCAGTTTTCACTCAAGGCCACTGTCAGGAGCGATTCTCTCAAGTATCAACATATGTGCTATGAGGTTGTGTCTATATGTGTTGAGGTCTGTGTCCTGAATTCGGCCCCACTTGCGAAGTCTCAAGGGCCACCCAGCCTGGTTTGCGCGATGACTTTGTTCAGGTCATGTGTGGAAGTGGCAAAGGATTGTTTGTTCGAAACATTGCGGCGGCGCTTTTTGATTTCTCGCAGCATAAGGAAGGGTACCTCCTTCCATGTGGTGGTTTGCTCGCCCTACGCGCGATGTGTGCAGACTGCGGTCAAAATTTGCAAGCAGCTAGGCAGGGACGAGCTCGGAGCTCGTAGCTGGGGAGATCGACGTGGGCTGGGTCCAAATTTGGAGCGCCGTGGTTGGAGTCCTTTTGACTTTCAGTGTGAGCAAGCTTGCTCTGAGGCTACCCAGTTGTGACGCGTGGGAGACCATCCCAGAAAGGGTCCCACTGGATTTGACGCGTTACGCGACGGACTAGGGGATTTGTAGCATGTAGCAGCACGACTGACACCATGATTCAAGCAAAACATGGCGACTAGGGGAGACATGGTTCTCTTCTGAGAACCTTCCCGAAAAGGTCTGTGTTCTATCAATACAGCGACGTAAGCACTGACTTTCTGGCAGCTCGGTGCGCTGCTTTCTGGCTATTTCCTCATGGAGTAGTAGCTCATCCATGGTTGTCGTTGGGAAACATTTTGCATTTTTGCTTCTTGTGGCTTAGTGGGAAGTCCCCACTTAACTGCTAAAATCTAATCTTTTGCTCCCCTTCCAACGTCAACCAAGCATCAGCGTCCCGAGTTCGGGGCCACGAACACGGAGAGGCTGCCTTAAACGCGTAGCACCGTTGCCTGAGCGGGTGAATGCCAGTCTGCCACTTGCCCCCGTAAATCCAGTTTCTTGGTTGCCTTCCTTCCCATGCTTCCCTTTTCGGGTGTCCGTTTCCCGGTTGACATCACCCCAAAGAGATTCACGTAAAGTACGGTCGAACACGTCTTCGGCTCTTTGTCCTTTCGGGGTGCAGGACATGGGGCAAACTCAGCAGGGTTGTGGGATCAAGGGGTTTATCCCCACTTCTGTGATACAAGGAATCTCCCCCTTTGTATGGGGGGTTAGTCTTTGGGAAGCCCTTTCTGTTTTATCAAAGTGGTCATTTCCCACAGCCCCGAAACTCAGGAAACAAATCCGACAAAACACCGCGCCGAGACCTAACTTGCCCGTGGGACCGTACAATTTTGATGCTGGCTCACATGGGTGTTGCTAGGGCACCCTAGAGGTGGTTTCAGAGAGAAACCAAAGGGAATATCACTCTTTGAGGAGGGTCCGCCATTATATATCATATAATAATATATTATATATATATATAGGAAAAAGGTACTTAGTTTTTCAAGTTGGCGGCCACACATATATATATATATCTATACATACACCTGTATCTACACACCCACATGTCCTTTTCAGACGGTAGGGGAGAAACAACCATTTGGTAGGCCCAGGGGTCAAGATGCTCATCGACTTGTCGCTGGGTGAGATCTACGGGCCTTCCGTTATGGGCGAGGCGGATGGAAGAGGGAGGGAGGAGAAGTTGCAATGGGCACGCAGCGTGTTTTTAAAAGGAACCATGAGTTGAAGCATTCTGGTTGTGGTTCGCATTTTCGGTTGAACCAGTTATTTTGTATCACGCTTGTTGTTTCCAATATGGCTTTTGGCAGCTATGGCCCGGATTTACCGGATTTCACCAGGGTCAGAGCCCAGACTCGTGTCCATGTGCGGTGGGGATGGAGGGCTTGCACCATGCGTGTCTTAAAACAATAGGGGACCCAGCATCCCAAAAAGAGTACCCCCAAAATTAAGAAGAGGAAAGTCGCCTATACCCATATCCAGTAGTTTGGGATCAAATTACGCGGGCAAACCAACCACTGAATAGAATGAGGACTCGCGAATTGTCCAATGCAAAAAAGGTGTGTCTCCTTTTTTGGATAGTTTTAGAGGGAAACCAAAAGGACACCACCCGTTTTGGGGGGTTCCCTTATAGTGAGAAACCCATATCATGGAGAACAAACTATGGCCCACTGCATGCAGAGAGTGTTTCACGTCACGGCACCAATGCAAATCGGGATCGGCTTTGCAAGAGCTGCTTGTACCATGGCGTATATGCAGGGAATGCCTCGTAGCAAACGCCAGGATCTCGTCTTTATGTTCTTACTTGGACAAACAAGGCAACTCTTTAAAAGAAGACGCAGCACATAGGGCTGCCCGGTAATGTCGACCCCGTTCATCTCTAAACGGGATCCCCATTGTTCAACCACATCTGCTTTTCCCTCCCTGCAAATACTCAACCAGATATATATACTGTCCGGTAACCAATAGTCGGTTTGGATTGGTGGGACTTGAACCCCTGATTCTTCCCCCAACCACCCGCAAACTCCCTAAAGGTCGCACACTCAGAACTCAGAGACCCGGATTCGTTCGTTCGTTCCCAAGCACCAAACCACCTGAGTCACAATCAAAACCTGGGTAGATGAAGGTTAGGGACGATCCCAGCCATAAAATATCTGCGGGAATCCGCCTTTGAAGCATGGTTCTGGGATTACGACCATTTTTGTACCGGTGTTTTGAGCAAGCGACTCGCTGGTTCGGCGCCTTTTTGCCAACACCCTTTTTTTTCGAGCACTCATGTCGCCATCTTCGGATCCGGGGGCTCCAGTGCAACAGAAGCCTTGGAGCACCAAACCGCGGCTGAAGATGTCATCCTCTGCCAAAAGCGGCAGGTCGAGCCACGAGCGCACCTGCGATCCTTTTCCGCCGCTGCCCCTTGGCCTTGGCCCGCCGGAAAAAAAAAGATGCCGCAGACGCTTCCTGGTAGTGGTGTGGGTCCTCTGGTTCCCCCCGTCTTTTTTTGTCGAAGGTGTGTCCCTTTCAAAGCATCAACCAGCAAACGGATTCTTTTTTCTTCTCGGCACATCAACCTTCAGGATCTTGCCCCAAATCCTGCGGGTCTTGGGGGGTGGTCGGTCAAGAATGGGCCCTTTTGCAGGACGCTGACTTGTCGTGCCTTTCCAGTTGAGACCCAAAAAGGGATCCATGATTTTGTCTGAGCTTCCCATGAGTTTCCATGCATGCATGCATCACACATGCATACATGCACGGCATTCACGCATGGACACAGGCATGTATTCATGTATACAGGCATACATGCATAGCTGCATTCATGCATGCATTCATGACCATGCGTGCATAAATGCGTACGTGCACATGTGCGTACATACACGGCATGCATAAATACACAGTGTATATATATATATATATACTAGATAGGCCACCTCCAACAGGTACCTTCACCCACCATTTGAAACAGCTACGGAGGAAGGTTTGGGGGGAGTCTACATGATGCAAATACTCACGTTACATGACATTAATTTTCATTGCATCTCATTTCATTGCGTTACAGGACATGGCATACATGCATACATGCATAGACTGTCCGCCCAATGCGTGCGGTGCTGAGGTAGACTACTGCAATGCCAACGGGGTCAGTGTGGTGCGCCGCTTTGTGGGCGATTCACCGGCGCCTCGGGTGATACGTCCAGGTGGGGGAATCAACCGCCAGGTTGTTTTTCTTTCTCTTTATTTGTTTATTTGCTTATTATTTGTTTAGTTGTTTATTTATTCATTGTTATTTTATTTATTGTTTTGGGGGGGTTGGCCCCGGCATCAGTATGAACAGCCATTATATAAGGGTCATACAGCCGTTTTTGCCTACAGCAGTACAATCAATCGCCAGAGGTTATGCGCCCCATTTTCCCTACATCACTACCGTTAATAGCCTTTTAGAGGTTACACCCCATTCGCTGGGGGTAGTGGAAACTGACTTAGGGTCCATGCAAAGCAGTCTCCTCGAACTTCGGACTGCCGTGCTGAAGAATCCATGGCCCCAGGTTGCACAGCCCTTGTTTAGGTTTTTTTGGCCACATCTTCGGATTCTTCGGCACTTCTTCGCCACAATCAACACCCGGGTAGATGAAGGTCAGGGGACAATCCCAGCAATAAAACAGCTGCGGATATCCTTCTTAATTCTTGAAGCATGGTTCTGGGATTAACACCCTAATTATACCGGTGTTTTGATTGCTAGTGACTCACTGGTTCGGCACAGCACCTTTTTTTCGAGCACTCATGTCGCCATCTTCGGATCCGGGCCCCAGTGCATGCAACAGAAGCCTAGCAGCTTGGGGGCTTTTGGCCGCTGACTGCGACATCCTCAACTGCCTAACGATGGTAAAAGGGACATGACCCTCAATAAGGTGGGGAACCCAGGATCAGAGGTTTACTTGTTGGCTTCAAAATGACCCAGGGACTCCTTTTCGTGCCGTTGGCGTCCTTTTAGGTCAGCTTGACTTCATATAGACGGGTTCCGCTGGCTTCAGTTTGGAATCGAATCATTTAAACCAGTGATTTACCAGTGCCCACTTGCTTTTCCAAATGGACAACTAGCCGCCAGGCCTGAAACCGAACCGCAAGATGTGAGAGCTCCGATTTCGGACGAGGTGACTAGGGGCCGTGTTTTGCATTCAGCGAAGTAGGGCGTGTGTCGTGTTTCAAGGTTCTGGACAGGGGCAGCGAGAGCTGGTCGGCTTTTTAGGCTCGGGTTTTTTGAAGTTCCAGGCTGCGTGCTTCTAGGTTCCAGGGCTCCGGGACAACTTGAATCAGGTTGGTTTTTGGTTGGTTGGTTGGTCTGTTGGTTGGCTGGTTCTTGAATACTACAAGGACCAAAACCCCCAACGAAGTAAGCAACGAACCAACCAGCCAGCCAGCCGACCAGCAATGAATGGAATTATGGAGTACTAAACTAAATTATTTTGTGGGCTTCCAATAGTGCTTTTGTTGAGGGTACCTCTTTTAGTTGGTTTTCAAAGGGAAACCAAAAGGAACACCGTTGCGCCTTGTTCTTTTGGGGGGGGCGGGTGGGGGTCCAACCTAAGAGAAGACGAGCGCCAAGCACAGGGAGCAGCAAGAGACCGCGGCATGCAGACAGCGGCCCAGTCGACCGACTCCCGGTTTGGCAAAGGGAGTTGCCCAGCGGCCCCTCCAAAGCGCACCCCGGTTTCAAGGCGCGCCCAGAACCGGAGGGGAATAGGAAAGGCGTACAACAAATCTTGGCCCCCGATCAATTTTGACCAAAGGATGCGCAGTGGCGAGCTTTTTTTGCCGAGTTGGACTGTTGGCCCTTTGGTCTGTTCATGGATGTTGTTGGGAAACATGTTTTACATTTTTGCTTTTTGTGGTTTAGTGGTTGAAATCCAACCACTGAACTGCATAAATTTGAAAATGTTTGCTCCCCTTCCAACGCCAACCAAGTGTTGGTCTTCGAAGCGGCAAGCCGATTTGTCCTAAACTCCGAGGTGTGGCCCGAGTCTCTGCAG